TTTCTCTTCATATTCGACACAAAGTAAACATTAGAAATAAATTGATGTTTCCCATTTTTCTGACAGATGAGAATGTTACAGAGAATGTTACACTTGCCTTTCACCTCTATCTTAGACTCATCTCTAAAAGACACATTGTCGCTTACTGATTCGTCAAGCTCTACGAACATACTTCATCTCCCACAAATATGGTTGCTTGCACCGGTGTCCAGGTACCATGTACTATCTTCACCTCTTTATTGTCCTTGTATGCTAGAAGTAGAGTGTCTTCCTGTTCTCTTTTTTCTTCTATGTAGTTGACTCTTTTATTAACTTTGTACTTAGGTGCTCTACATTCTTTTGCATAATGCCTGAACATGTTACAATTATAGCACTTAATTTAAGATTTATCATACCTTGAGTTTGAGCGCCCTCGACCACGCCCTCTTGTAGATCTTTCTTCTTTCTTATAGTTATTGTTGGTATCTCATCCTTACTAGCATGACCTTGTCCTTATCCACTACCTCTTCCATGTTGGCTTCTAATATTGTTGAAGTTTTCATCTTTCTGAGTTGGTTGGAGATTCATCTTGAGAAGTTGTTTGACAATCTCTTCATTCATTTTCTTCTTTTCTTTATGAGCTTGCAATGAACCCAGAAGTTATTCTATCGTCACGGCTTGTAAATCCTTGGTCTCTTAAATAAAGGTTGTGATACTATCAAATTTTGAATCTAACGATCGAAGAATCTTTTCCATGATAGTCACATCTTCTAACTTCTCACCATTTCTTTTTAGTTGATTAGAAATGGTAATGACTCTAGAAAATTAATTGGAGACCAACTTCCTTCTTTCATATGAAAAACATCAAATTGGCTTCTTAAAGTTTGAAGTCGTACCTTTTTAAACCTTCTCTTCTCCCTTATACGAGACCTCGAGCTTCTTCCATGCTAGCTTGGCCGAAGTAGCACTTGAGATCTTTTCAAAACCATCTTCATTTAAAGCTTGATAGATGAGGAAGAGAGCCTTATTTTCTCTCTTCCGCAAGTCTCTTAAGTTATCCTTTTGTGTTGTGGATAGAGTGGACTCGTTTCTTGGCTCATTGTAGCCTTTCTTCACAACCTCTCAAATGTCTTGCGCTCCAAGGAGTGCCTTCATCTTGATACTTCAATTGTCATGGATGCTTTCCTTAAGCATTGGAACTTGGAAGAAAACCGTGCCACCATTTTTCATTGCTCTATAAAGAAACATTTAGGCTCTGATACCACTTTGTTGGAATAGAGAAGCTTTTAGGATATGACAAAGACTAAAAATTTATGGAAGAAGCTTCACTTTTATTTATCACCTTTACTTGACTTGATGCAAACTCAAAAACTTCACCCCTATTTATACTAGTGGCACCTCTTAAATTAATGGCTAGGATTGTGCCACTACAATTTCAATCTAATGGCTACAAATAATTTCATACCTACCATACAATAATTCCACACCTACTACACAATAATTTCATACCTACCACATATTTCTAGAATAAGCTTCTAGATGAGACATAATTAGGCTTTATTTAAACAATTAAAATCAAGTTTACATTTCAATAGTTTGCATCGTGGATTGTGCAAAGGAAGAAGCTCGTTGCAGCCGAGTGCGAGGGAGAGAGGTGATCAAGCTAATGTTATCATGAGTACGAAAGGTGCAGTGGCCAAGTGTAAGGGATAGAGGAGATCAAGCTGATATTGCCCTAAGCATGAAAGGTGCATCCTCCTACTAGAATTGAAGTGGGAGTTAAGGCAGGGAACCCAGGCACGGGAATTTGAGCAATTGTGAACAGACAGTGCTTAAATAGATGTGTTCGGCTTGAGTAGAGACTGCAAGGTGGCTATGAGTGGGGAGAGGGCTTATTTTGTTGAGGGAGAGAACACATAATCAGTGGGAACATGATGTGATCTTGCATGTTTGAGTGGTCACGTTAGAGTGCAAGCCCTGGAGCTGGTGAAGCACGAGCAAGAAAGCGAGAGAGAGGAGAGTTGCATGCTTCGAGTAGACTTAGTGGACTTCTAAGTACCAGGTACATGATTAGCTTTGGTTGTATTGAGCTTAGGGGTGACAGGTGCTGAAGATATGAGGCAAGAGAGAGTAAGTAGTAATGTTTATGGAGTGGTACAAGTGGAATCAATGTCATTTCCTGTGATATGGGATGAATCAGCTGAGGAAACAAAAATCGAGATTGAACCCAAAGGTTGTGGGATTCAGGCTTTGGGTGAGCTAAGGGTGTATGCATGAAGGAAGAAGCAAACTAAGGGAAGAGAGACTGAAGTGCCAAAAAGTCCCTTTCATGGTCTTCCCCAACTCTTGAGACACCTGCACCATCCACCATTGATTCAAAACTCCAAGGTGATATTATTCCTCCTCCATCCACTCCCAACCCCCCCAACGTTATGGACGGCCTCCCATAGCAATGCGAGATATCCTCCTGATCGTTTTGGGTGGGAACTTCATATTTTAAACTTTATTTCTTATTTTAACATCTCAACTTTGCATGGAGCGTTCATTGCATCATTGGACTCTATCTCTATACTAAAGTATTAGCAGATAGCTAAGGAGGATCCAAAGTGAATGGTTGTCATGCTAGCAAAACTTGGTGCCCTCGAGAAGAATAAAAAGTGAGTTCACGTTGCTACCAACATGGAAAAAGGTAGCCGAGTGTAAGTCAATCTCATGTGCACGCTAGTGGTTAGGAAGAAAAATTTGAAGGGTGATATTTATGTGAATAATTAGGAGAAATTATCAACTCATGAGAAATCCTAATTGATATCTATGATAATGATTATTTTTTTATTGATCAACTAATCTCTCTAAAATTAGCATTTTATGATGAACTCTACCATTAGATCTACTACAACTAAAATCACACTCCATGAATTCAGTTTTAATCGGGTCTATTATTCAAAGTGATGGTGGTATAGATTGGGATGTTATTAGTAGAATTAAAGTTGGTTGGTTGAAATGGAGGAATGCATTGGGCCTATTGTGTGAAAGAAAAGTTCCCCTTAGATTGAAAAGAAAATTTTATAAGATGGTGGTGAGACTTATAATGCTCTATGGTGCGGAATGTTAGCCTTTAAAAGAGAAGCATATGACAGTTAAGTGTTGTTGAGATGAGAATGCTTAGGTGGATGAGTGGCTTAACACTTAAAAGACAAAATGTGAAATGAATATATCCATGATAGGGTTGATGCAACTACAGTGGCGGACAAGATTAGAGAGTCATCTTATGTGGTTTGGTCATATTAAACTGCAGTCATCTGATGATTCAGTTAGGAGAGTAGATGTTTTAAATTTAACTTATGTAAAGAAAGGCAGAGATGGACCCAAAAATACTTGGACATATTGTATAAAAAATGATCTTAATTCTAAATGAAACTGTGACACTCAATATGATGTAATGTAGAAAAAGATTTCATGTAGCCGACCCCACTTAGTGGGATAAAGCCTTGTTGTTGTTGTTTTGTAGTTGTAGTAGTTGTTGTTGTTGCATGTAAGAATCTTATTCTAGATCAAAATAAAATGCACCCTTTTCTTTTCATGTAATTGAGCATTCAAGCTTGACTTATATTTACTATTTGTCAATGCAATATTTCTTTCTTAAAATTAACCCAACCATTTGACTCCAATATCAGCGAAGTGACATTGGCATAAAGTAGGATGAAATCACACGTGACTCATACGGCCAAGAGAAAAAATATTGCATAAGGAGTCCTGATGCAATTTTGCATCAAGACCTTAATCAAAGTCTGCACGTGTACCGACAGACTCATCCATGTATTAAATTAATTTTTTTTTGTAAGGTAGGTCCGTCTGTACACATGGCAAGCCCTAATTGGAATCTTGATGCAAAATTGCATCACACTATTTTTTCCAATTCATGGACTAATTTTTTGTTACGTTTGGCAAGGAAATTTTCTTTTTAACAACTTCGTTTTACTCACTCGAAAACATAATTCCAAAATTGAAACTTTAAATTTTTTGGTAACTACCACTTAATATATCTAAAGCACTTCTCATATACCATGTCTTATGTGGACTCATCTTTCAGCTACTGATCTTCATAAATATAGATATGTTCAAGTTGGTTCTATGGTCATTTTACATGGAAACAACGCAAATAAAATGAAACCTAGATACTTAAAATTCTAATGCTGAACTCACCAAATGGATTCAAGGAAGATTTGCCAGTCAGGTTTAAGAAAACTTGACAATCGAGTTCTTGGTGGACTCATGAGTTGTTTGTAAATAACTTGTGTTCGACTCATTAAATAACTCGTATTCAATTAGTTCATTAAACAGTCAAACTAAACACCAATATTTTTTTTAAGCTCAGTTTATAAACGATCATAATATAAATAAAAATTCATTCATTCATGTTCAGATTCCTTTTGGATAGAAATAATTAAATAATTAAATAATAATAATATTTATATTATTTATATTAATTTTTTATGTTGTATTTAAAAAAAATGCATATAAGAGATTTGGGTCGTCTAGATATAAAAATTAAAATTTAGTTGTTAATATATAGGATTTGGCTCATATGCATGTAATTGCCAAAAAATAAATAAATAAATAAAAACAAAGCTAAACCAAACAGTCTCATCTCTCAGTCTCTCAGTCCCGTGATCTCTCTTATATTGGTTTTTAGCAGTTAGACATATAAATACCAAATAAAAAAAAAACCTGTAGAAATGGTTGCCATGTAAATGCCCAAAAAAATAAAAAAAACGAAAGCCACAATCCAATTCTCTCGTATATTTGTTCAGTCCCGCATCTATGGGACAAGCTTATAGCCTTAGGGGCCTTTAAAGGTAGGGAATTGAATGAACATGAACATGCTATTCATGAGGTGTTTTGAACATGAGCCTATTTCAAACAAAAAAATTCAAACGAGCCGAACATAAACAAGCTCTGGGCTCGCTCAAGCTCAGTTCGATTACAGCCCCTTTAGTTCAAGATCAATACCTATTTAGATATAAGCTAATTGCAAGCAAATTAACTTACAAATCCTGTAATAGAAGATCATTCGAGTTGAACAAATTTGCCTAAATAGAAATATTCACACAACATAAGAAAAAAAACACATTGTTTTGTAGCGTCACATGGTCATGGAGCTAGCAACTTCTTAATTCCTGTTTTCTGGTCTGAAGTGAGCCTGGAAGGAAATTTGATGCTGAACTTAATCCTTAGGTTACCCTTCTTGGTTGGGTCCTTGGGAATGGGCATCCCCTCCTTGGGCACCACCTCCTCATAGCCAGGATGGATTATAGAGTTTATTGGGATGGTGAGGCTACGGCCATCCAATGTCGTCAAAAGAACAATGTATCCGGTTAATGCTTCAACGAGGGAGATCTTTTGTGTTATGACGAGATCGTTACCCTCCCTCGTAAACACATCATGGGGCTTCTCATCAATGATAAATACTATGTCTGCCGGAATCATATTTGGGGCTTCATTTCCCTTCTCAGGGAATGTGATCTTCGTCCCTTTTTTCCAGCCAGGCTTGATATCTATAGTGAGGATTTCCTCCACCGGCATTATTTTCCTGATGGGGACAAGAGAGAGAGAGAGAGAGATGCAACAGTTGAATTAGTGAACAATGCAACAATCAAATCAACATGAACATAGCATATAATAGAGAGAGAGTGAGAAAGAGGAATTAATTAAATCAGAATGAAACAAATATTTTAGGAGAGAGAAAGCATGAGTATTTGTTAGAGAGACAAAAGTTAACCAGCATGACCTAGACATGTTTTAAATAGCCAATCAAATTCCAAAAAATATAGGCTACTGCATGTTACCACTTAGTATCATTTGCATTTTAAAAGAACTGCCAGCTCAAATGCACATAAAAAAAGTTCATAGTTACCATTCAGAACACAATG